TGTTGTCACATCCTGCAGCACCTGGAACAGCTGCTAATGACCTGCAGACGAGAGCAAATTGGATTTATCCCCTGTGCCCCCCCCCCCAGAGTGTTTGTGACAGCGTGGACGTCAGAGCTCAGGTTACATCAGTTCAACAGAGGAATTAAAAAAGACGAGTGTGAAGTAGGTCAAAGTGGAAAAACCTCCTCTGCTCGTTCAGCTGGTTTCTACTCAAGGAACTGGGTTAACAATAACGTCTGCCAACATCCTTGAAGCAACAGGCCGGGTGGAGGAAGTGGATCATCAGGGTGGAGGAGGAGGAGGAGGAGGGGGAGGAGAAGGGGCTGAGAGAGCGCACGTGAAGGCTGGGAGTGTGTTGTCTGAGAGACATGTGCTGGGGGGGGGGGTCAGACACCCTCCTTCACATACAGGCAGATGCACCAATACAGCCATGAAGCTGATGAGAGTGATGACGGCTGAGTCTAATAATAGGTCCAGTCACACACAGGAGAATATGGAGAGAAATATATGGAGAGAAATATATGTGGAGAGAAATATATATGTTTGTTTTTTCTATGAATGAAGATTTTTTTTCAATGATTCTTTAACCTTTGACCTAAAACCTCCACAAACAAATGAACAGTTTTCCCCACAGTGTGTGTAAATAACAAGGTGTGAATGGACTGTGTATCAGGGCAACAATCAGTGGACGGTGGTATTACTGGTCAGGACAGACTGGAGAAGGTCTGGAGAAGGTCTGGAGAAGGTCTGGAGAAGGTCTGGTGAAGGTCTGGAGAAGGTCTGGAGAAGGTCTGGTGAAGGCCTCGTCCAAAGTACAGTCAAACTGTTCTGACTGTTGTTTGCTGTGAAGCTGATAATGAAGGTGTTTTGATTGACAGGTGTTGATAAATATATTTCAACATATATGTGCAGAGGGCAGGACTCATGCTGGCCTTTCCTCACACTCATATCTGCACCAGGGCAGCTGTCACTCATGGTGTGTGTGTGTGTGTGTCTGTGTGGTTCTGTCCATGTGACTCACGTGTGTATGTATAGGGTGGGGGTAGTATGTCCCCCCCCCCCCCTACATGTGACATGTATGGACTGGAAAACACAGCAATAAGTCACCGACCTTGACCTACACACACAGACAGACACACAGACACAGACACGTTAATCTAAACCTTGGTCCTAATCCTGAGCCAAGTCCAACTTCAGTAGAGAGTGGACTTCTGTCAGTCGTTGATTCAGAGTCAAACCACAGCCGTGGTTTTCTGCTGCTGTGACTAATTAAAGTCTGAAGGTTAAATGAAGGTTCTAGATCTGAAATAAATGATTTAAGAAAAGAAACTACACACACACACACACACACACACACTGGGACATGTGACTTAAAGACAACATGGCGACTCCGTGACGTGACACGCCCCTGGTTTCTCAGTGGATTTTATTGACAGATGAACTCCTGCGTCTTCTCCATCTTCATCACAGACCTGCTGTACCAAACTCCTCCACACTGATAAGACCCTGAACGCCTCCTCTGACCCGACAGACTGTGAAGGCATCGCCGCGAGAAAATAAATCAATTCAAGTCCAGCTCCGTGGCAGATCGCTGCCGTCACATGTATCCATAATACATGAGAAAGTATTAGATGAGGGGCCACGTCCTGCTTCTCCTCCAGGAGTGCTGACTTCTGCATCCAAAACAATCACACACACACGCACGCACTGTAACACACACACACACACACACACACACTATGAGGCAGGTCCTGGTGAAATGATGCCACTGTGCTGAGCCAGGTGGTTACATCAGGTCAGCAGCTTTATGAGCTCTGACCTTCAGGACAGGGGGAGACACTGAGCAGCAGCAGCAGTAACATCAGCAGTAACAGTAACAGCAGCAGTAGCAGTAACAGCAGCAGTAGCAGTAACAGTAACAGCAGTAACAGCAGCAACAGTAACAGTAACAGCAGCAGTAACAGCAACAGCAGTAACAGTAACAGCAGTAACAGCAGCAACAGTAACAGTAACAGCAGCATTAACAGCAGCAGTAACAGTAACAGCAGCAGTAGCAGTAACAGCAGCAGTAGCAGTAACAGCAGCAGTAGCAGTAACAGCAGCAGTAGCAGTAACAGTAACAGCAGCAGTAGCAGGAACAGTAACAGCAGCAGTAACAGTAACAGCATTAACAGTAACAGTAGCAGCAGTAACATCAGCAGTAACAGTAACAGCAGCAGTAACAGCAACAGTAGCAGTAACAGCAGCAGTAACAGTAACAGCAGTAACAGCAGCAACAGTAACAGTAACAGCAGCATTAACAGCAGCAGTAACAGTAACAGCAGTAACAGGAACAGCAGCAGCATTTTGTTATAATTTTTAATTTTTAAAAACATTCAGTGAATATAATTCAAAGTCCAGATTAGCTGACTCTAAGACTCCAACAGTCAGACTGACTGATAACTGACCAATAAAAGTGACCGCAGCCAAAACAATCATCAACTTTTTTATAATTGTTATTTTTATAACATATAATTACAGGCTGCAGTGATTCCACATATGTGAAAACCTCAGACTTGACATCTGGGCTTTTTGAAGGTTATGTAACTCAGAGTTATGTTGTCAACAACCACAACACACACACACACACACACACACACACACACACACACACACACACACACTCCTCTGGTGCCAGAAATATACGGAGACCAAACGCACTGTCGGGATTCTGCTGCCCCCTAAAGGCGGCCCAAATACATACGGTTCCACAGTCGTCGTAGCTGTAAATGTAGTTCTCTGCTGCCATCTAGTGGTCATAGATAAATAGTTCCTGCTCAGCAGACGAGGCCTAGTTATTAACTGACGAAACACACGACATTGACGATGACGTAGCCCAACAACTGACACTGACGTCCACTTCCGTTACATCCTGTAACCACAGACACACTATGACCCACTGATCAGGATGATATGACCCTCATTTCCTGAATATCTAGTATTTTGACAACACTATGCAAAAAAAAAGTAAAAACAGATTCTGCTAGTTCTACCAAAGAGAGCGCTATAGTAGCCCACGTACCACAGTTTGAGAACCACGTTTACTTGGTCTCATCCCTGCATCTACTTTGACAACACAGTGAAAACAAAGACACAGATTCCCCGACATTAGCCTGCAATTCCACATCTCTGTAGCAACTAGAGGGCAGCACTGAGTCGTAGGTAAAGTATCTGGCACTGACCTCTTTGATGGGATTCGTCATGTGTTCTTCTGTGTTGATGACGATGAAGACGATGATGAAGGTAGTGACGATGAAGACGATGTCGTTGGTGGAGTTTCCTTCTTCAAACTTTTCTCGATATTCACGTCCTTTTGCTGATTGTTTCATTTTTAGAAATCTTCCCGCGTTTAAGCGAACTTGAGAACTCGTTGGTAAACAAACATGGCTCTTCTTCTTCTTCTTCTGTCTTCGTTCCTTCTCTTCTTCTTCTTCTCTTCTTCTTCTTCTCGGCGGCTCATCTTTAATCTTCCTCTACAGATTTTATTCAGACACGTTACACGTTTCACGTACACTCGTTATTTTCTAACTAAACACCTTCGTGTTCGCGAATGTTCGTTAAACTGCACCTGGTAACGCTGGTCATTACGTCACATGTAACCGGAAGTGCCGCTTCTGTAGGTTAGATACGATTTTTCCCCCATCTTCTGTTCATTTATTATTATTATTATTATTATTAAATCATTAATAATAACTTTATATTATTTATATTAGATTTATATTATTGTTAAATCATTAATAATAACTTTATATTAGATTTATATTATTTATAATGTATTTTAATTTCATTTAACTTATCAATAGCATTGCTGCTAGCTATTTATAATATATATATTTAAAATATTTATGCGAGAAAAAAGTTACTATTTCATCTACCTGCACTGACCAGTCTTTGACTAAATCTCAGAAATAAATATCAGAATAAAATCCAAAAATAAAATGTTTCGAGTCTACTAAAACTTTTTGCTAAGATGGGAGGAAGCAACGCAGAGTGTGTGCCGTAATGCTATTGGCCACTAGGGGGTAATCGTGCTGTAATTATTCACCTCTGGTTTTCTCTCCAAATAAAATGATCAAAACTAATTATTGTTAAACTTTATTTTCATCCATAGTTTTACAGCAGTGACAGGTAACTACATTAAAAACAGTTTTTAATGAATTCAAGTTTGAGTTTCTGAAGCAGCAGCTGTGGAACTCTCCATTCTCTGTTAGTCATTGAACTTAGGACAACAGTGAACTTTGACCTTGAACAAAGACGTCTTCCTCCGCTGCTCTCTGTGAAGTGTTTTCTTTTTTAATAATTGTTTTATTTTACAACCTCTTCTTTGCTTCTGTTTCCCAGATTATAAAACACTGGTGAATTCAAAATAAAAAAAAATAATACAAATCTCTTTTAAAATGTTCATGTCACAGTGAAGTAAAAGAAATTCATTAAAGAATAAATGTAAAGGCTTGTGAACGCCTGCTGAGTCGTCACAAAGTGTCAATCAAACAAAGGTGGATTTACAGTGAAGACAGAGTGAGGACAGGTCCAAACATCTGGACTGAAGACGAGCTAACATTGAACACTAACTTTTTTAATCGTCTTTTCACAATTGTTTGACAATTTATTATTTACATCTACTGATAATTCGTGCTGCTGCCGCTGCCACTGCTGCTGCCACTGCTGCTGCCGCCACTGCAACTGCTGCTGTCTGTGT